TGGGTTCAAAGCCCAGGTTTGTGAGTGATGCAGATCCTTGGGTGACTCCGCCCCATACCGTCACTAACAGCCTGTATACTTGGCAGATGTGGTGAACAACGTGGCATTGACGTACACTCGATTTACTCGTTAGGCTTAGAAGGCTTAGATCCTACACCAACGCTACCCATCCCTTCATTATTGACCATCAGATTCCCAACTTCGAGGTAGATGGGCATTCCTTGGGAATGCGAAACTGTGCCGGTCCCCCCTCTCAGGATGGCTACATGGGGCTCCATGTTGACGTGGGGAAAGGGGTCGGATGAGCATCAGCCTAGCATCTTGAAAGTCCCGTGATCGCGAAAGTTGCCATGTTACTCTGGATTTAGGGTTTTAGAGCTTAGGAAGTTGGCGTGTGTGTCGAGGCGGTGTAGGGTTCGGGGTTCAGGGTTTAGGTGGGAAGTCCTCAACCTGAAATCCTAGCCCATAAGCCGCTCTCCAAACCTAACCGCCACACCGAAGTTGAAAAATGAAAACGGCACCCTCTAAAAAAACTGAAATGGAAAACCCTATCGAAGACCCTTTGTAAAAGGGCTGTAGTCTTTCAAATTTTTGGCCAGAGAATCTCCACCCACGTAAGACCCTCAACCCTGCACCTTCTCACAAATCCTACAACCTGAACCTTGGGTTAATCCCCCCACTCAGGGTTTAGGGTTTAGGGAGGGTCTATTGTAGGTATATGAAAGCATTAGCAACTCCATATCAAGGTACCCTCCCCGGTTTCACAACCCCCAAACCCCCTTGTATCTCCCAATTTTCTGTATAGCCGGGCAACCATGATCGTGTACTGCAACTCGTTCCTGAGGGGCTGCGACCTGAGCATGCTTAAGGGGGGGTTAGGATCAAGGATCTAGGACTTGGAGCTTAGGGCTTAGGATCTATGGCTTAGGGTTTAGGATCTAGGATTTCATATTTAGTGTTTGGGGCTACTTTGCGGCTTAACGTTCAGGGCTTAGGATTTAGGGCTTGGGCTCACCGTTTATAGTTCAGGGCTCACCATGTAGAAGGTGGGCGGGTTTAGGGAAAGTAGATGCAACTATTTACGGTACAAGATATACTATAGTACTTGCCATTCTCTTTTCCATTATCCCAAGATAACCCAAATATACTATAGTAGTTTCCATTTTCTTTCCATTATCCCCATACCCTAAATGCTTCCAAACATGAGCTGGTGCCCTTCGCCACCCTCTAGGTTTAAATGCCGAAGCTCTGCAAGCCCTAGCAGCCCCTACCAACTCCGAAACCTTGCAAGATCCCAACCCTGAACCCTAAACCATGAACCCTAAGCCCTAAACCCTGAACCCTAAACCCTCAAAGCCGGAGCTAAAAGCTCGAGTGAGCAGCGTTTCTTTGGTGGTTGAGCTAACCCTAAGGGTTCAAGGACCCAAATACTAGCGCTTTAGGGCCCAAATACTGTTAATATGATAGCATTTGGGTTACTATTTGGGGTCCTTGGACCCTTAAGGTAAATGAGTTTACATTATGTTCCTCTTTCCATGCACCAGCACCAAAAGGAGTATGTACGTTGCCTTACTCCAAATAGCGCGGAACAAGGAGCTACTAATCAGCCCTAAATCCCAACCCTAAACCCCAGACAACCTTAGTTTCCATGGCATTCTTCATGTTATTGCCCATTATAACCCTAAACCCCAAACGCTAAGCACATGTGGAAACTTCCATAAATAGAGGGACCGCAATATGGACCCTGATACATTAAAGTCGTTATTTCTGGGGACCGCCAAAAAGCACCCTTGATCCTGGAACCCTAGGCTCTAATCCCTCTGCCTTATACATTCCTATATACCCCTATACAACCCCTGCAACCCTAAACCTTCAACCCTAAACATTCAACCCCAACCCCTAGACCCTACACCCTCAACCCCAAACCCTTAAACACCAAATTTAAACCCTTAACTCTTAGCCCTAAGCCCTTGAAACGGTCCCCCTGAACTTTCCTGGGGCCAAAGACAGCTTTGTCAGGTGTCCCACCATGGAAGGCTGAACATGCTCCTGCTCCTCAAGGCATGGAGTCCAGGAATGGGTGGTTTAGGGTTTGTTACCATTACTCAGGGTCTGGGAGGCATTTTGAGCTTGAAATTTGGAGATTAAGGAAATTTGAGAACCCTAAGCACTGGTAAGTTTACATGGACTTGAGGGTTTAGGGTTTGGGGTTTAGGATTTAGGCTTCCAGGTTTAGGGCATAAAGGTTCTTGTAAGGGACCATTGGCAAACGCCTTTCAAGTGAGTTTCTATCCAAAAAAGAAGCCTGCCTTATGGCCACGGCGGGGACATGCATTTTCCACAACCACCATATGGGATATCCCTACCCGTGCGCTTCCTCATGTTTAGGATTTAGGGTGCGTGCTCTCCTTCGGAGCCCCTTTCCAACCTGCAGGCGAAAACATCACACCGCTTCGCAATCATACAGGTTCACGGCGACAGGTCCCTATGTGTATGGTAGTTTCCCGAAAATGGTGGGATCACAGTATAGGCCTCAAGATACTATGACTATAACCCTTATTATAGCTACCCCCAAAAAGTTACCGCTTATTTTGGGAGACCCCCATATATAGATGCATATATCTCTACTCACAACCCTGCCAGACTGTCAAGATGACCCTTCAGGGTACAGATACGGTATATGGTAGGTATATGAGGATTTCAGGCTGTAGGGCCCTGTCCAGGGGTCTATAATTACAACCTTAGATCTAGCAGGGCTGTTCATGCACAACTACTACAATGAGGAGATGGGGTGGGGACCTCTGGGTGTGTTTATTGCCAGCTCAGGCTAGTTCTGGTCCTGTACCCTAACCCTAAACCCTAAACCCATCGCGACCGAGCTGAGAAGGCAAGCACGGCAAAAACAACAACAATCACAGAATAGAGCCTAAGGAGGCCCCCTAATGGATCCCAAAAATGGAACGCGGTTCAGGGTTTAGGGTTTAGGCCCCAAAGTGACCCCACTACTACATTGGGGAACCGAAGAAATCATTAGGAGGCTTTATGTTTCGGATCCTTCGCAGTCTTGCTACGTAGGCATAGTTAGTACAAAGCACTAGTCTTATGTGCAACGATAATTGCCCGGTTATGACAGGGATCTGTCCCTACTTCGCAGAGAGAAAGCACCAAGGACAGCAAATGTGGGCATCGCAAGGGACAGATTGAAGATCCTCAGGATCTGTTCAAAACCCTAAACCCTAAACCCTAAACCCTATACCCCAAACCCCAGACCTAAACCCCAACCCTAAACCCTAAACCTTGTATCTCAGTGGAGCTGCTAAGGCTGAAGGGTTGCAACAAGCTGCAGCGAGTCTATGTAGGCCCTACATATGTACCCAACACCAAGGCAAAAAAAAGTCGTGCCACGCGCATCTTAAGGCTCCCTAAACACCAAGAGACCCAACCTCAGAAGTTCACCTTGAGGTGAGGTACGGATTGATAGATGAAATCCTGCCTGACCTGGAACCCTAGGAATGTACGCAACCTTTTTGTGCACGCAGGGCAACAAAGTTTGCCGTGAAGCGAAGCTTTCTCAAACGAGAGGCCCCAAGAGACCCTACAGATGCAGGGATAGTTTAGGTTTAGGGTTCAGCATGTAGGGTTTAGGGTGTGTCAAGCTGGGAGTAAGGCTCTCCGGATACATTGGAATTAAGGGGGGCGCCTTCAGGGAATTTCGGCAAGAATTTGAGAAACTTCGCCATCTCCGCATTGGCTCTGAGGCGAGCACTGCACGCTGACAGACCCAACAATGCAAATCACAAAACCAACTACAAGGAATCTGCAAACCTCCCATTTAAAGATCCAAAGCTCCCCACCCAAATCTCTACTCCCAATGACATCCCAGAACCCTGAACCCTAAACCCTAAATCCTAAACCCTAGACCCTAAACCTTCCACTCAAGGTCTGGAAGTGCGCATTGAGAGGTCCCGACTCAGACCTGCCCTGCGACATCCTCCTTGCTATTGCGCCCCAGACCCCCAAAAGGATCAACAAATTGGATCCCCAGAAGAATAGGGTTAAGGGCTTAGGGGAATATATCTATATATATATATATATAGATAGATAGGGCTGATTATGGCTTTATATAGGGGATTTAATTTTTAGAAGGACTGGCCCTTTGATGCTCGAGAGCTGCGGAGGTCAGGCAGCATGCACGTTTATGGTTTCAGGGTTTAGGCATTTAGGATCTAAGGTTTGAGGTTTTGGGTTGACGGTTTAGCGTTCAGGTGGTTTAAGGTTTAGAGTGTAGGGTTTAAGGTTCGGCGTTTAAAAAAGTTTAGCGTTTAGGGCTAACCTTCGCAGCTGCAAGAGCTTGGGGCCTCAGGGTTCTAGAAATGTACGCAAGCTTCCAAACTTTGGAGCCTGCGTTTGCAGGACCCTGTACAAGCTGTCCTGCACTAGTCGGGAATGAAGGAAGGTACCCCTCATTTCCTCCCCCTAATATTAAACCCTCCGCTCCCCCCCTCATAATAAGTACTCCAAATATATCATAATATACCACATACTGGCAGTATACAATATTAGGGGGCGAGGTGGGTTTAACACTGGGGGGAGGGGATTAACAGTAAACCTTGGATACTCCACAATAACATAGTAACTTCCATTCCTTTTCCATTCCCTAATCCCGAAAACCTAATCCCTAAACCCTACACCCTAAACCCCATTCCTCCATTCCCTATTTGCAACCAACAAGATGTTGCAGCAGGCCATATTTCTGTGAAAGATCCAGCTTCGCTGTTTCAGTTTGGGGACTCCCCAGAGATGCGTGCGATGTAGAAGCCAGAACATTTGCCGAAAGCACTCCTCTCTAGTACTTGTAACGCTTATAATATAACATTCCCCCAAAAACCTGCTTTAGCTTCTAGCTTCTAGCACCTAAACCCTGAACCCTAAACCGCGTACCCCAAATCTCATGGCTCTACATCACCCTTCCTTAGCCGGCACTGCAAATCCTTCTGCGCTCAGTCTTGTCTGCCAAGCATCAGGTGCTGGATGTGGCTTCTCAGTTCCTGTTACTGGTGCTTGATGTGAATTGGAACCCTAAACCCTAAACCCTAAACCCTAAACTGGGGGTGGAAAAGAAAGTGGAAATATTATCATCTAAGGTTGAAGCCATGGGCTCCTAATTTAGGCCCTTAACCCTGCATCCTTTGATACCTACGACACACCCTATGTGTACCCTTCAATTTCCCTAGAATCCCGCTGAAAGGCCTAAGCGCCCATATTAAGGGCCCATACTTCAAACCTTAGATATATGTCCCTATATAACCCCAATATAGATCTATATAATCCCTAAATATTCCACATAACCCCTGAAGCCCTACAATCAGAATCCTCTCCTTAAGTGGTTCATCTTAGAGAACACCAACTGCACCGGCTAGGAAATGGGTGGCTGAGAGGCGTGATCCCTGAAGGCTAAGCTTTTCATGTTAGTATTCGGATTCCTCATTCGATTCTGTAAAAAAAATCAGAGAGAGGGTTCGATAATGGCAGGGTCAAGGGGAAAAGTTCTGTGGGTTCACAAGTGTTGACATTAAAGGCTGAGTTTTGTATGTAGCAGCACCAGAGCAGGTAATCCCAAACTGACAGTCTTTCCTACTGGGGCCGGACGTTCGCCCTCATACGACGTGACAGCCCCAATCCGTGCTTAACACCGCTCTTTCCCTCCTCAGAGTTATATTCTAATGAGCCACTGTCTAAACTCCTGGTATCCCCCTTAATAACCCCTGTAGTATTCCCCTATATATACCCCCAATACAACCCCCTTTAAGTAGATTGGACTATAGTTCAAGTCGTTTCCCATAAACTTGATACTTCGCATTCTCTACAGCTCAAACCTGAACCTCTGCCCAAGCACCCACCCATCCCCCCACACCCACCAAGGCGAGACCATCTATGGACGTCTAAACAGGGTCAGCCCTCCTCGTTTGGGTGGAACCATATGAGCTATAGTCTAAACTCCTGAAAGGGGGTTATAATTTAGGGGACTATATAGGAGAGTATTCTAGGGCTTATTAAGGGGGGATACTAGGGGTTTAGAATTAAGCTCATATACAAAAAGCGGGTGCCACCTGAAAATTGTATACCATCCCTCACTCCCTCAGAAGGAAGTCTAACTTATGGAAACCTACACCCAATAAGCCACCGTTTCATTTGACTCTCCATTGTTGGGTAAGATATTCCTATGCATGCCTGTACTATGCCCCGGCAGGACGGCTGTGGAAATAATCGACGTGGCTATATTATTCTAGACAGCCCCCCAATTCTTGACCCCTAATCCCTAATCCCTACACTCTAATCCCTCATCCTTAAGCCCTAATCCCTAAACTTTAGCCCCTAATCCTTAAACCCTAAACGCTGAACCCTAATCCCTAAATAATCCCTCAATCCCTGTAAGTCCTGCTCCGTGGTCGTGGACAGCAGGTCCAAGGTGTTGCAACAGGTGTGGAAGCCTAGCTTTGCCTGACGAAGTGCATCTGGCACCTGAAAGTCTCTAAACGAAGTTGAGAGCTTAGGGCTTCGGGTATGTTATCATTGCGTGGAGTGTGGGGCGGACTCTTAAGCCTAATATCGTGAACTTTTGGATGAAGGGAAATTTGGGAACCCAAAGTAATGCTAAGTTTATGAAAGCTTCAGGGCTTAGGGGCTAGGGTTTTGGGCTTAAAGCTTTGGAGAACTCTGGTCATGGTCTTTAGAAGGATCACGGATCATGATGTCTCATAAATTCGAACCCTTATGCCCTAAACCCTAAACCATAAACACTCAGTTTCTATGAGAAGTTCCCACTTCCCCACTTCTGACTGCCCAAGGAGAGTGGCCCCTGTGTACTTGAGGGTTTGGGGTTTAGGGTTTAGGGTGTGTACTTCAAACTTTGACCCCAGTCCCTATATGGTTGCTTTGGCAAAATGTTGTTTTCTTTTCGGGGCCACCGTTGAAATAGGGTCCCCAATCATAGGGTACCCAAAAGAAATCGTAACTTTGACAACTCAACATATAATCAACCCGAAGCCCAAACCCTAACCCCTAAACGCTGTTACAACACATAACCATGAGGTTCCTACCTCGGCTTCTTCCCGAATGCACATGCATATACTTCCTACTACATGCCCCCATCGTCTCCACATAATCCCATCCCTAAACCCTATACCCTAAACCCTAAACCCTGCAGCCCAAGCTCTAAACCCACAACCCTAAACCCTACACCCTAAACCCTAAAACCCTAAACCCTAAAACCCCGATCCCTATCTTACCCTAATCCCTGAGCCCAGAATTCCACCTCAGATTCTTCGAGGATGCAGATGTTGAAGGGAGGCTCTAAGGCTCGGAAGCCATCGGCTGGTGGGGCCAGCAGACCCGTGCTCTCCAACAGGAAGGCCTGCACAGTTTAGGGTTTCAGGGCTTGGGATTTAGAGTTTAGGGGGGGCTAAGGCTTTGGAATGTAGAGCTTGGGATTTAGCGTTTGGAGGTTTTTGGGTTTACTGTAGGGTTTCAGGGCTTAGGGGGTTTAGGGTGTAGGAGGTTCAGGGTTCAAGGGGTTTAGGAGGTTTAGGGTTTAGGGCTTAGGGTTGATGTCTAAGTGATTATGGCAGTGTAGGATTTCGGGAAGAGGGGCTTTGGGAACTGTAAGGCCTGCAGCTGTTCCTGCGTGCATTGCATCAAGGTGTGCCACAGCATCCTGATTACAGGGTGGCGCTCGCTGCCACTGATGTAGACCGTGTGCTCCTGCAGGCCCCATGCCCGCTCACAACGCAACATGGACATCCAGTAGCCCCTTGTTCAGGTTCTTTGGTAGTGTGTGCAGGATGGTACCTCTGATATTACACATCCTCAGCCCCCTTATATGAAACATCCGCTATAGCCTTGGTAATCAAAAGTACAATCAAAACCTGCGCCCATGCAACTTTGGGACCGTTTCTATATACCACAACATCTGTGGTGAGGTCATTATAGCTTACATAATCCCGCGATAATACCCCTGCATGGCCAGAATTCCACAGAATCTTCCATTCTCTTCTCCATTTGGTGCTGCGATATCGGAGCATGTCCCAAAACACTATATAATCCTTGAACATAATTATATCCCTACCTAAACCCCTATATAATCCCTCCCTGCTCGAAACGCTAGACCCAAAACCCTAAATCCTCAACCCTACTTCAGGGGGACCTTAGCATTCCGTGGATTCTACACTTGCTCTCCTGCCAGTCCACCACGCTGATTGTGTCACTTCCCGCCAACATGCCCTGGATTTCCGCGACCGAAAACAGCAATCTCAAGCCGTCCTTAGCTGGTTTGGGGTTTAGAACTTCTGTACCCAGCGAACCCAACACCCTCTAAATAAGCAATATACCTTGAATCATATTAATCCAACACCCTCTAAATAAGCAATATACCTTGAATCATATTAATCCTACACCCTCTAAATAAGCAATATACCTTGAACCATATTAATCCTACACCCTCTAAATAAGCAATATACCTTGAATCATATTAATCCTAGAGTCATTTTAGATATATTCCTTAATTAAACTATATCGGGCTCTCTGGGTGCTTAGGAATTGCCGTTTCAAGAATCGAGAGTTTCCGTTTAGAAACTTTCATAGGGGCCCTTGTAATCCGTCAGGGTTGAGGGGGCGTACGCCCCCTAAGCCTCCCTAAGGTCTCCCCAGGGAGTATGGGAAGAAATTCCCTATATGATCCCTGTATATAGTATCGCAATATTCCCTACTAACCACCAGTAGGCTTCTGTGTGCCAAGGGTCTTGCAGCTACTGTATGCATGCGTGCATTCAAGTTCGCATATGACGACAGAACCAATCAGATTCCAGCATTTACTGACAGTGGGCCCTTTGGGTGCCCTAGGGATGCACGAGGGCCTTCAGGGATCATGTAGGGTCACTATCCAGGGCTTTGAAGGCTTTATTTTAAAATACTTCTATGGAATTTCCTGTAAAAAACTTGGCATGAAAAACGGCGTAAGCATCCGTCTGGAGCCGTGACTGGAAACCCTGGCGGAAGGCCTCCGTGATGGGCAGGACGTGAGGGTTCTCAAGCACGTGCGTAGCTACCTGAATGCTTAACAGGTGTCCTGTCTAGTGTTGAAGGCTTACCCTAAGTTCCTTGGCCATGAGCCCCTAATCCCTAAACCCCTAATCCCTAAACCTTAAAGCCGAACCCCTGAACCCCTATACCCCTAAACCTCAGGGCCCCGCTGGATCCAAACCAAGGCAGCCCCCCTCTCACGTAAATATCACACCCCCAGCCCTGAAAAGTGCCCCTTATAGGGTTACTCTATGGGTATACAGGAGTATATGGGGTTGCTATAGGCATTGATAGGAATATGTAAGGCTACTATAGGTGTATATCGGAGTGTATAAGGTTCAGTTCAGGGATTGGACACTCTTGTGTCTTAGCACCGTTCACTTTGCACCGTTCAGTTTGGGAATTCATGACCTTGCAGAACTCAAAACACTTAGAATGACTCCCAACCTACACGCCAAAAAACAACCCGCGCCCCGACCCCGCTCAAACTAAACATTCGCCTACTAGAGGCTGGCACCAGGACTTTCTCAAAATATGAAAGATGTGGTGCTTAGTGTTGTTAATTATCTCCCCTACTACTAAACCTCCCCACCCCCTCATAATGGATACTCCCCCTCATATATATGTATATAATCATACTATATTGGGGACGTTGCTGCAGTGGATACTAGAAATCCTGCATGACCTAAGTAACTCAAACCTTGGGAATTCTATCACCATAGTGCAGGACTTTAGCATCAACAATATTCGGGGGAGGTTATCAAGCCTATGTAATCTCTATAGTTATAAACCCTATGTAATCCCTGTATAATCTACGTAGTTTCCATTTATTTCCAATTTTCTCAATATCCCCAAACCCTAAACCCGAGGATTTGGGGAGAGCGGATGCAACGTGCCCGCCTGCTGGCAGTGCTCGGAAGTCGGATCCCACGGGCCGGGCGGGATATCAGTAGAAATACTGATGGCGCCCTGGTCCAAAATCCTGGGTTTAGGGTTTAGGGTTTGGGGTTCAGGGTTTAGGTTGCTGCTAAGAATCTAAATTCAGATACCATGAATATGGAAATGTAGTAGATGATAGGGTTTCCTTATGATATCAACTTAAATTCCTTAACAGCAACTCAGAATCTTAGTCGGCAGATCGCACTGGCAGAAGAGGTCCTGGTCGTGGAGGGTCAGGGGGGGTTAGTTTGTGGTTAATACTGGGATAACTGGGGTTACTACTTCCCCTGACCCCCTAAACCCTAAAACATAAATCTTGAACCCTAGACCCTGAACCCAGGGTCTAGCTTTTCCGTTGTGGGCTTCAGGCATTTTCCGAAATTTGTGCTCGAGGCTTCTGTTGAGACGTTTGGGATCTTCGCAGGAAGCTGAACTGAAACTGCTATTGATTGTAAATCCGGCCGCATCGCAGGCTATGCGCATAATTTGGCACAACTCTCTTTCTGATTGTTCACTAGAAGTAGCACTGCGTACCAGTAGGGACGAAATCTTTAAACTGATGGGTACGTGCTTACCACTCTGCATTTTGGTGATGCAGACAATTTCTCCTGTTCACCGGTTCCCATGCTAAAAATCTCCTCCATGCAACCCTGCCCCACCCCGCAACATTGAGCCTTCATCTGGCCTAAACATACCTAAAGAACCAAAACTAAGGGAAACGATGAGGAGGTAGTATAAGGGGATAGTGGGGAAACCCATTGTCAACCCCTAAACCCTGAACTAAAAAAACTCTAAAACCTTAACCCCATCCATAAATAACCGTAAACCCTAAACCCTAAATCCCAAATAACCTTGATGGGTAGGCGAGAACCTGTCACCTTTTGCTACCACAGGATGGTACCAAAGGGCCCGATGTTGAAATTCAGGTTACATAGGGGCAATGGAAAAGAACATGGAAACTACTATCTAGGGTTTAGGGCTATTACCCGCAATCATGGAGAACCAAATGGAAAAGAAGATGAAAAGTGAAATGGAAACTGAGATCACAGACTGGTTTAGGGTTTCCGAAAACTAGGGGTCGCTCTTTGGGTGTTCCTTTAAGAGGATCACGGCAATTTGGTGCCTGTATTGGCAACCCCCCCCCATGGACGGAAACTACCAAGTATGTTCGTGCCTCCCTGACAACTACGGCTGGAGGAAAGGGTGCACCACCTGCAGTACCCCGTCACCCAACAATCACACCAGGCCGGTGGCCCCAGGTGTAAGATTTCCTCCACCCCACAAATCACGAAACCACGACACTCTTGTTGCATGCTACATCGGAGCAGAGACGAACGGTTTGTCAATGGATTCCCGAAGTGTAGAAATGTAATATGGATAACCAAATAGATAGCCTTGGGATCCCGATAGGGGGCCCCTATTCCACATGAAGGTGTTTGATAGGATTTAGGGTTAGGGTTTAGGGTTTAGGGTGCAGTCTCAGACCATCCGGCAAAACTTAGAATCGCAGATGCTGATGCAGGTCCTCGATTCCCGCGAGCGTTGGATCTCCTTATCTTTCCAGAACTGGGCTTCAGGATGTGGTTTTCGGGGCCTAGAAAATTTGAATAAGGTTGTAGGGCCATGTTCTACAGAAAAGGCAGAAGGCTGACAGGGGGTATCAATCCGATTCTTCAGGTTTGGTATTTTCATGTAGTTTCCATAAAGGGGGGGCCCAAATATAGAGCCTAGAATAATACAATCCTCACTTACTTATGGAGACTTTGGAAACCCTAAGCCGTCTCCCCCCCTATATAAACCCTATATGCCCCATATATATATATATATGTATATATATGAGCCTTTTAATTCCAATTTCCAGGAGTTAGAGTCTAAACTCCTTAAAGGGGGTTATATAGGGGGTATATAGGGGAGTATTAAAGGGGTTATTCAGGGGGATACTAGGAGTTTAGACTGCAGCTCATGTCATGCTCCGTTTCCCTATCCATTTGGTTCGCATTTGTTGGTCAGCCCTTAACCCCAATCTCCATGTATTTTTTCACGTCCTTTGCCAATTGGTTCGCTGTATGCCTACAAAACCCTACATACCGCGTCTATACCCCTCCCCAAACCCAAAACAAACCTACAACACACCCGAACCCATCAACAAACCCACTTGAACCTCCAAACCAACCAAAGCCCCGGAACCCACCTAGACCCTAAACCCTAAACCCTAAATCCACCTAAACCCTGTCATCAAGCTGAGTTTCGTAGCATCCTAGCGAAATCCGGCTTCACCTCCGCAAGATCATCCAGCGTCACACGAAGTGATGGGTCCACCTCTCGCGACAAAGGGCTTTGGGTTAGTCTAAAGTAGTCCCCAGAACAACTCCAAAGGTTCCCCATAAAAACTCCTAAACCCTAAACCCTAAACCCACTCCTTCAAACATTCCCCATGACTCCTTTTCCGAAACTCCGGACTAGTCTAAAAGCTCGGGCCGAGGGTTGGGGTTTTGAGGTTCAAGCCTTGTATTAAGCCAGGTTCCAAAGGTGACCCTCTGAAATTCTGCGTACTTGAAGTTTCATGGGTAGTTATAAGTCAGTCGGACGTGACCTTGGGTAACTTTTGTTATAACCTGATATAAGGGACGTATAACAGTCTGCAACTACCCATGATCCTTCTCAAGTAGCATCAACTTCTCTGATTTTTTGGATTACGTACAAGATCGTAAAGCGGGGAGTTGTTCAAAGCGGGTAGATCCTGAGTACTCATTGCGGCTCCCTAAGGCTCTCCTACCGCCCTTGGACGAGGCTTGGCCTGGCAACCGGGTCTTTTGTTGGCGGCTTGTACCTAAACCCTTGAACCCTAAACCCTTGAACCCTAAACCCTAAACCCTTGAACCCTAAACCCTAAGCCCGAAAATACCTGTCCCCAAGATGGCCATAAGGTAGGTTCCGTATTTGGTTAGGATCCCCTCTTCAAGGCACCAAATTTCCAATGGTTCGTGCTTTACAAGGACCTTTAGAACGACCCCCAAATTCCAACCCCAAAGCCACACAGATCATGAGCTCCGTAGGCTACCCCACCCAGGCCCCAGGCTTCCCCCTGAACTAAATTCTTCTCAGAGAATGCGAAGCTGTCTGAGGGAGAGGGAAAGGTGCGCAGTATGGGGGCGTAGTAGGAGAATGCATAAACAGACTAAACCGCAAATGGCAAACTCCAGCCCTTCAGAAGTTGTGGTGACTCAACCTGCTGCACAAAACCAGTGCTGGCCGTTTATAAATTAGCGGCTGCGTCTTGAAGGTACCTCAGACTACCCTAAGTGCCCTGCAACTTCCGTTGAAATTGTAGTCTTCAGTGGCTCTTAGCATTATGATTGAGTTTAGGGTTAAGGGTTCAAGGT